AATTGTGCTGCATATAACTCAGTGATGAAAATACCCTGGAGGACGAGCAAGAAACATCTCAAAGTGTCCAAGAAAATATAGGCTTGGTTTTGTCTCCTGTCTTTTATATCTTGGTTTGCACAGCTTTTACTTTTCCTGTCTAACTCATTTGGGGGATGGTATGGGTAGGTGGTAATATCTTTTTGTATTGATACAGGAAGGAAGTGGTTAGATCAGGCCATTCATTTCTTTATTTAACCTTTATGTACTCACAGAAAATAAAAAGGAAAAAATAGATGATAAGAAAAAAACAGAAGATAAGGAGCTTAAGTATCTCATCTATTCTCATTGGGGTAATGTTAGTTGGAATTTGAAAGGACATTTCAGCTACACCACACAGTAACTCTTTTCATCATCTGGTTCATGGACCACTGCGCCACATTCAGTCACTGGTTTTCCTATTCATACATTAAAAGAAGAAGTTAGAGAAGTTTCATAAATTAAAAGTTACATGTTCCCACTTCATGTCCATTACTTTAATAAGTCTGGGCAGACATACTGGGACTATACTCTGCTGGGGTGAGTGTCAGGGATTTGGATCCACCTAACTACAGTGGAGCACCACAAAGAGAGCTTGAACAGGGAAGTGACACCTCAATTATGTCATTTTCACAGGATGACAATGTAGGGAGAGATTTGGAAGAGCCAGAAGAGGTGTGAAGAGGCCAATTAGGAGGTGACTGTAGCAGTTCTAGTAACAAACTAGAGAGGCCAGAGCCCGGACAGTGGTGGCAGAGATGGAGACAACTGGATGAAATTGAGACTAGGAGATAAAATTAAGGGACTTGATGCCCATCTAGATATAGGGGCTGAAAAAGAGAAGCATACTAAGATCAATGGTTATGGGTCTGTTGTAGTTCTTAAAACCTTACCACCGCCTACACCTACCCCACCCCCCACTTATTTATTTGTTTATTTATTTTAAGTATCTTGACTGAGAAAGTATGAGTTGGGGTTTCAGAAGCTTTGGGACATGACAACTGTGGTCATGCTGAAAAATCCATGTCTGTCTGTATGGCCCATCAGTCGTCATCTTTTAGATCAGAAAAATGCTTGATTGAAATTAGTGAATGTTATTGTTCAAACCCTTTGCAGTATGACAATTTCTGGATTTAATTACTTGCCTCCTCGCAAAGTTCATGCCCTCGACCTGATAGCACAAACCTCAACAGTCTGCAAGACATTCTCCTCCCACTTCTGGTTTCGCCCTCAATGCTGCTTGTTGATTCACCTCTCCAAGTGTCCTCATGTTCTCCATAGAACTTTGAGAAAATGGGTTTGTGTGACCCTGACCCTTTCCTCTCTGGAAAGGGACACCAAGAAACAAGGCCTCAAAAGTTGAGAAATATAAATGAAGAGGATGACACATTTCTCACTTGGCAGGTCAACCTGGGTATTCAGCACAGGCGTTGTGGATATTCATTCTACAACCACTGTTTGCCCTGTCTGTGTGTGAAGCCCAGGCAGAGCCCAACTCAGGCTTCAAGGCAGGAAAACCAGCTGGTCCAGACCTTCCCTGCAGGATGGCGGATGTCAGGCCCTGAAGCCACTGATCCTGCGACAACTCATTTCAAGTCAAATTAAGGGAATAATGCAAGCCTAGTAGATATTTAATGAGAGATTATTTCTGGAGATTATAGGGATACAGAAATTGCTTATAAATCCCTGACCTTTTCTGAGCCTTGGCTCAGTGAAAGAGCTGAATCACCTGCTCAAGGGGATTAAGGACAGCCGCTGCCATCTGGCCAGCTACTTAGACTTTCACTGTCATTAGCAAACTCTGCTCCTTGGTGATGGTGTTCTTGAACCTTTCAGTGGGAACTCACTTTTCACAGAATAGGTGATTTCAATGGACTTAGATTAAGTATCTGCTGGGCGAAGATCAGACATAATAACCTGGTTATATATATGCACTATAGTTCCGTTCACATTAGTGGTACATATTAAATAATAAAGCAGTTGGTAATCATTAGTGAACTAATTATCACATCAGCAGGAAACAAATTGATGAAAGCAGTGGTTAGAACACTGTGTGTGTGTGTGTGTGTGTGTGTGTGTGTGTGTGTGTGTGTGTTACAAAGACAGACTAGACAGACAGGGTAATGTGCCAGGGCAGCAGGCAATGTAAAAACTTGTATTATACCAGTTCCAGTTTTGAGATTTATGACAACTGTTAAACTGTGTTTTGTGAGAACACTTTGTTGAGGAAAAATGTTTAGTGGGAATTTTATTTGCGGGGAGAGTTTGGGGCCACACCTGGAAGTTCATGGGCTTTTACCTTGCTTTTTGTTTAGGAGTGAGTGACGCCTGGCTGCACTCAGTGGACTGTATGTGGTGCCAGGGATCAAACCAGTGTCAGTTGCTTGCAAAGAAAGAGCTGTTGCCCTGCACTATTTCTCCAGCACCTTCTCAACATAACTTTATCAGTTTATAATAATTACCAGTAAGCAACTTGAATACTTTGGGTTTTTTTTATTGAGATTCTGTGGCTGACAGTACTGTTCATAATGATTTCCCAGGCTCACAATTCCAACAGCTCACTCTTCACCAATGTGCCAACATCCCTCTCTCAAGGACTTCAACAGCCCTTCCACTGAAACTTGCCCTCACCACCTCAGTTCTGTCCACTAGTTCTCTATTATGTTGCCTTTGGATCTTTGTTGTTTCCTTTCTATGCATCTTAAAGTCTCACATAGGAGAGTAGTTTGGAACCCTTTAGAGACTAACAGTTACTTTATATTTGACACTGCAATATGTAAATGTTACGTACATTTTAACTTAGCTAATGTATGGGGCACTCACAATGTATAAGGTCTTTATATGTAACATCTCTGTAAGATTTAATAAAAGGATGTTTCTGGTTTAAAACTAATTGGAGAACTTCTAATTATAGGAAAACTAAAGAAAAAATATTTACTCAAATTTTGGGAATGGGGAGAAATGCTTTTGTCATTTATCAGAACACGTAATTACAGTTAATGTAGGCTTATGGATTTTTTTTCTGTATATAACTTAGAGGGTCAATTTTATCATTTTCCATTAAATATACATTATATAGAAAAATATTTAGCTTTTTACAGTTTCACAAGAAAAATTTCAAGGGTTTATTCCCCCTCCAGGATTATCTGTAACTGTGTTCTTATTTCTTTTGCTATTTGGGCTTTATGGACTTAAGTCTTCTGACTATTAGTGTTATCATTGCCATCTTCCCAGTCATTTCACATTTTTTGAAATTTTTATGAGCATTCATTAGGTAGGGAAGCAAAATGAGTCTGTCTGGGATAAAGGTGCATTACTACCTCACAGAACAAGCTATAAAATAATAATAATAATAATAATAATAATAATAATAATAATAAGCTATACTTAAAACATGCAACTCTGGAATTAGTTTCTGCTGTTCTCCAGAGACTACACAAAATGACAATTCTTTTTCTCCCTCACTTCTTTGACTATCACCCCATGAAAGTATACTCTTAAGCACACCTTAAAAGATGAACTAAAAAGCTTCAGCTGACTGTTGAATCACAGTTGTGTTTTGGAAATCTCTTTTAAGTGCAAAAAATAATTTCTTCTGTGACAAATGCTTTCCAGTAAGCTTGAGTATGACTACTGTATAAAGGAATGAAAATCCTCCTCTGCACATGAAAAAGTGCCCAACATCATTAGTCATTAGGGAAATGCAAATAGAAAACACAATGAGGTACCATTTCACACCCACGAGAATGACTGTAATCAAAAGGACAGTAACAAATGTTGGAATGAGGTGAAGAATTTGGTATCCTTCTGCCTGGCTGGTGGGAATGTAAAATGGCACTATGCTTTTGAAAGCAATTTGACAGTTGCTCCAGAAGTTAAACAGACTTACCATATCACCCAACAGTTTTCTTCCTTGGAACCTACAGAGAATGGTTCTCAAGGACAACTTCTGGCTCTGCATTAGAAGTCGAGGTGTTCATTCCGGGTGATGCTCTGGGGCTTAAACCCGGGCCTCCTGCATACAATGTATATACTTAGCTAATTTATCTATTTCCCTGCCCTGTAAGCTCATTCTTTAAAAAATCCCCACGTGTCTTATCTCTGGGTAACAAAATGCAGGGTGAATTTTGGTGCTTTATTACCAGCTTGGGAATTGCTCCCTACTGTCCTGTAATAGGTCACTTATTTTTAGTGACAGTGAGTTTTGGAGCAGAAGGAGAGACATCCCTTCCTGCTGTTTGGCCACACAGATGGTCTGTATTATCTGGATAGCTTTTTTGTTTTATTTTTCTAACCTGTTACATTTTCTTTATTCATTTTATTCTTTTTTCTAAAATCACCTATAAAAGATTTTACTTCTTTTTAGTTCAGTGTCATATATAAAATAACTTGGTAGTACAGACTGTGGAGTTAAGTCTCATATATTTGTAAATTTGATCAAGACATTTTGCTCTGCAAAATCTCAGTGTGTTATGGGGCTAATAAACAGCTTAGAGAACTTTCTAGGATTGATGACATCTGTGTAAAGCATTCACCCAACTTTATTGAGCACTTTCTTTGTACTTTTTGAAGAAGATCAGCAAGTTTTCATCCTACAGCTCCCAGTAATAGAAAACACAGAGCTTAACTATTCCTTTGGTAAAGTGCTGAATTTATTTGTAGTTTCTTCAGCTATAAATGAACCATTTAATGGAGCCATTGTTTGGGGGCAATATATTACCTTGCATGTTATCTTTGCATAATAATTTTTACTATGAGTATTAATCAAGTTAATAATATACAAAGCAATTAGAATTATACTTGGAATATGATTAAGCTCTCAGTGAATATTAGCTAATTTGTTGGATCATTTTTATTATACCTCTAGTGGGAAAAATGAAAAGGATACATGGTTGTACTGTACTCTGGTATTGACCCTGGCGAGGCTGGTCAGGCCTTGACCCTGGAGTGACACCCTGACAGCGCTTCTCTCTCTCTTGCAGCTGCACAGTTGGACAGCATTGGCTTCAGCATAATCAGGAAGTGCATCCACGCTGTGGAGACTCGAGGTAAGGTAGTTCAACAGATGGCATTGTTCTCAGTGAAGGTTGCGCATCTGGTGAGACCTCAGACCTGTTACCAGCTGTTTTCCGATAATAAGTGATTGATTAGCTCCCCAAGTGCCATTGTCAGCTTGTTTCCACAAGTCATGTTGCTCTAAGCAAGCATGCTCAGTATGTATGTTGTTATCAACCTCTCTGGCTAATCGGAAAAGTATTTCAGGTGTGTGTGTGTGTGCATGTGTTCACGTGCGCACACATAATCATGGGACTCTAAGTACTCTGGTCATTGAAATTTCAATGAAAGCATTAATAACAAGGTTTTGATATTACTTTTACATTTAGAATAACAGCTTTTAGTTGTGGACTAATATAATTTGAAAATGGGGACATTTTGTGACAGCTGTTGTAATTATAAGGGATCATGAAAATATCATTGATTTGTTTGTTTGGGGACCAAATCCAGCTGTTCTCGGGGGTTACTCCTGGCTCTGCGTTCAGGAAATACTCCTGGCAGTTTTGGGGGCTCATATGGGTGCTGGGGATTGAACCTGGCTCAGCTGCTTGTAAGGCAAATGCCCTACTCACTGTACTATAGGTCTGACTGAATATCTGTTTTTTTGTGAGCAAGTTACTGATGCTGTAGTACTATTGATTTGTTACTTACTGATGAAATGCTTAAATTCAATGATAGGTTAATTAAAATAAGAAGGAAATTATTTTCTGCCTAAGATCACATACATACTAATTCTCTAGTGGACTCCATGGGTCTGAAGTTAAGACTGTTGGTCTTTCACCAGAAGGGGCATTTTGGTAGGGAAAAGAGGTCCGTGGCAGTGCTGAAGTCAGACCCTGCCTGTCACATTAGAAAGGTTGACTCTTTTCTGGGTTTGTAGGAATAGGCCGGGTGAGTTGTTTCAATGGCAGGGTATCCATTCTCCTCTGATCAGTTGCTAAAAAGAAGATTCCTCTGTTTTGGTATTAGTATCTTTGAGTACACTGGTCTCCTATTTCCCAAAGAAAAATGTCGATAACTATTTTTTATCTGGATTTGGTTTGAACCAGGATCAAAGATCTACATTTTGTTTATTCTACAGCCTTTCCCCCCCAGCATCCTCCCCACCAAATTGGTTTGTTTTTTAAAAAGGGGCTTATTCGTGGCTCTTTGCTCAGGGATCACTATTGGCAGAATCAGAGGACCATATGTGGTGACAGGATTAAACCCAGATCAGGTACATACAAGGCAGTAAGTCACCTTACACCTTCTACTCTCTTGGCCCCTACCAGTAGTCCTTTTTATTTGTTTGAGAATTCTTTTAAAGTTTTGTCATTTAAAGCTCTTAGCAGATAGGAAATAGAATTATCTTTGTAATGGCTATCAGACATTGAGTAGAGGGGAAAGGGGAAAACAAAACTCTCATGTCTTTATGAATCTCTACTGCTATGTATCTGGATAAAGAAGTATTCTTCCCAAGGCAATTATTTTAATTGATGGTAACATTCTAAAAATATACCTGCTTATTTCTGCTACCTTTTTTGGAGTAAAGAGTTGAGGAGAACTGCAAAAATATGTAACGTATTGGCAGAGAGAATATAAAGTTGAAGTAGGTGATCTAACTAGGTAAGTTATTAGGTGATCTAACTGAGAAAGTTAGGTGATCTAACTAGGTAAGTTAGTAATGATCTACCTAGGCATAGATCTTAAAAAATAATAAGGATATGGGAGCCTAGTTGCATCATAGGATGTTTGTGCAATGGTATTAAAATGAATAATGAGAATCTACCTAATATTTCAAAAATTGGTTAAACCAGAGGGCCAGAGAGATAGCTCAGAGGACTGGCGTTGGGTGTCTTTCATTAGTAAGAACCTGAGTTCTTTCCTTGTAGCTACATTCCCCTCTTGATATAACACATAACACACTGTTGTGATCCTGATAACCTCTAGAACTCCTGGGCTCAGCACCAAAATGATTAGGTATACTTAGCTGGGCTGTGTGTGTCAAGAAATATCACCCCACCCCAGCACTGCAGGGAACACCACCTCCTCAACCAAGCTGGTAAAATCATCAGTGGTATAAGCCATGCAGTTAAAAATCACAAGTCACTAGAAATTCAGTAAGAATTACTGATAACTAGGATTTTTATTAGAATTTCCAGTGAAAATGCAAATTATACAACAGTCTGCCCGATATGAGCCCATTCTAGATCTGGCAGAGAGAGGGGAAGTTTGTGTCTGCATAGATACTACTGTGTTATTACTGACTCTGCTGGTTAGAACATCTCATCTGAAGTGCAGTTTTCTAAATTTTAAAAATGTTTATTACTATGATATTTTTTTCCACGGGGATTTTTTTTGTTTTCATTAGCATAAAAGAAAAAAAGGTAAAAAAGGGCCAAATTTGGGGTTAACAAAGTAAAGGCATAAAAATAGAGCCAAAAGGAGTTCCAAAAAGAAATCACCTTGCTTCCACAATGAAGTTCATATTCTTGATTATATGTTTCTCAAATTTCATCAGGCAAAAGCAAGAGGGAAACCTAATCATCTATAACATGCCACTGAATTTGTGTAGTAAATATAGACCAGTAGCTAGGAGGGCAGCCTTTCCTGATCGAAAACCAAATAGATGTATGCATGGAGGCGGGGGGTGGAGTCATAGTACAGTGGCTAGGGCATTTGCCTTGCACACAGCTGATCCAGATTTGATTCTTGACATCCCATTTGGTCCCCCGAGCACTGCCAGGAGTAATTCCTGAGCGCAGAGCCAGGACTAACCCCTGAGCACCACTGAGTGTGACCCCAAAAGTCCCCACTACTACCAAAAAAAACCCAAACAAATATATGCAGTTAGTCATGAATGCATAAGAAGGACACTAGTTGGTCTGATTTCTTAGCCTCTGCATTCTTGCCCTCTCCCTCTGTAAAATGTGGATGATGTGGTGAGTTCCAAGTAAGAGAAATTTCAAAGAGGAAATGAAAACAGTATACACGAAATGCCGTTTTAACAATAAGCACTCAGAGAAAATGGATATTTGGGGCCTTTTAAAAATTTTTTGCTCACAGGTACCTGATGTCTATGTCTTTGCAGAGAGCACTTTGTCTGTAAAATCCTATCATTCCAGATCATGTCCTTTCACGTATCTTTTCTCACTATGTTCAATATAGGTCCTATTGAAGGCACTGCATAATCAGCCTTTTTCAGAATTATTTTCCAGAAAATTTTGTTTCTGCCCCAAAGTGTTCACACTGATAGTGTATAATTTGGTGTTTTAGTCATTCTACCCTATATCATATGTTGATAGAAGTGCAGGGGTTAGAATGGTTGAATAGAGTCTCCTTGGGATTTGGGGCTTAAATAGTCTCAGGGGTTTTGTAATTGTAGGAAGAAGAGTATAATCAAACTAACCAAAAGCTATTTTTAACTGCTATAAAGTTAAAGAGGATGAAGGACAGCAGAGTAGTGTTGGTTATGAGATGCCTTAGAGCGAAGAGACCGATGAGAACTGCATGATGAGCAGTTCAGGACAAGTGTCCTTCTTGGTGGAAGAATCACGCATGGTTGTGGCTTGGGTTCCTGAGCCTGATCTGTAAGCCTGATCTGTAAGAGAAAGCCAGTGTAGCTGGAGGGAATGAAAATGGATGTTGAGAACTTGTGTAGGGCCTTTTTGTCTAATCGGTTTTGATTGTGGTCATAAAGCAATGGACAACCATTTTCCTGTGGGAAGGTTTTAAGTTAAAGGTTGATTTGAACCAGTTTATACTTAAAACAAGTTTTCTTTGCTATAGGATGGAGAAAGCACATAGGAGAACTAGGAATTAAAAGACAGGTTAATGGATAAGGGGCCTAGAATTACACAGAGAAAAACCATTTTATATTGCTTGCTATACATTGTACCCTTTCGTCAATTGTATGATGGTGATCTAAAGTTTCTATCTGAACAAGCCAAGTACTGAAGTGGGCTCATTTTTTATTCTTTTGGATATAGAAGGTAAATCCCCTCTACTCCATTATTTGGTTTGACCGAAGATGATCCATTTTCCACCTTTTAAAAATGTTTGCAGTATAAATGTATGGATTTTCTAATTTCTCAGCTGTGATTAAAATTCTTCAAAGTTAAAAATGTTCTTATATGTGTTTTCATTCTCTACGTGAAACTAGATTATAAACTATTTTTTCTGTCATATTAATATTAATTGTTTATCATGACATTTTTGGCTCTTCAAAAAAGTACCTGGTTAACTGTGATATTTTAAAGCATGTATTTTGCATCCTTTATAGTTCCTGAAATGCTGTCCTTGGCAACAAAAGAGGAAGATTTTTTTCCCCTCCCTCTGATGATGAGCTAACACAGGGGCTGAAGTGTGCCGCACACCCGTGAAATCCTAGACAGCTGTAGCAAATCCCACTCCTATGCTAAGAGCAGGCTTGAGTGACAGGGGACTTTAATTAGAGCAGCTTTTAGGAAGACTGAGAAAATGAAGGGGGGAAAAAGTGCACTGGGCTGGCTTGGCTTGGCTTGTGTTCTGAGGTGTGTCTAATTAAATTATCACCGTTTCTATTCTCAGGGATCAATGAGCAAGGACTTTACCGAATTGTGGGGGTCAATTCTCGAGTGCAGAAGCTGCTGAGTGTTCTGATGGGTGAGTGCACATGCTCTGACTCTCCCTCCCGGTGGATCCGGGGGACAGACAGAAATCTGGGCAAGCTCCTTGGGGAATCAGGGTCTTTAAGAGGCAACCCTGAGAAGTCATTTGCCGCCCTACCCTAACCAGTTGTCCTGACTGAGGTCATTGCTGGAAAAGGTACTGAGAGGGGACAGACAGGCAAAAATGGCAGGTCTCAAGCACCTTATCCTCTGTGGATTTGGTGGCCACCCCTCTGAGTGGTGCTGGGTTGCTCAGGTGACCACCACACCATCATCTGCTTTAATAGTGCCTGAAGCTCAGTCCTCTTTTTTTTTCTTTTTAATTGATCACTTGATATTCCATTACTCATCGATTTGCTTGATCAGGCACTAGTAACGTCTCCATTCATCCCTGTTGCGTGCTAGCATAGCCCACTGGCATCTGTTCATTCTAGGAACCTCAAACCAATCTAAGAGCCTCAAATCATTCTAAGAGCCTCAAACCAATCGTTCTGGGTCTTCACGAAGAAGTCTGACCATCTCGTAGGTGGGCGTCCACACGATCTTTTGACATCCCATGGAATCCAGTCGGTAATGGCTCTAGTCATCTCTAAATCTCATTACGTGTCCAGCCCATCTGATTTTCCATGCCTTGGCAAACGAGACAGCATCCTTGATTCTTGAGTGTTGACGGAGATTGGAACTCTGGATTCTTTCTCTCATTTGAGTGAAGCGTGATACTCCAAGCATAGCTCTTTCGATTCCTCTTTGAGAGACCCGAATAGCGTTCTCATCCTGTTTTTGTAAGGCCCAAGTCTCTGAGGCATGTGTTAATACAGGAAGAACAGTGGAATCGAGGAGATGTGCTCGGAGCTGGAGGTTTTTTCTCCTCTTAGCTATTTCTTCAACGCTCTTGAAGGCATTCCAAGCTGTTATCTTCCTGCGCAACTCAGGTGCCAGGTCATTTGTCATGTTAATTTCTCGACCTAGGTACACATAACTGTTGCATTCGGAGATGGTTGTTCAGTTGAAAACGAATGGAATGTCAGGAACAAGACTGTTTCTCATGCACTTTGTCTTTGTGAGATTCAGCTGTAATTTGACCTTTTCACACTCACGGTCGAAGTTGGTCAGCATTTGTGCCACTTGGCTGATGTTTTTAATTATGATTTTAATTAAAATGCTTTATTGCTGTGTACAGCATTTAGAACTGTATTTTAAGTGTTACATTAATTTTTCTTTTTTGAAAAATTTTTATTAGTGAGACACCATGAGGTACAGTTGTAGACTTACAAATTTTGTTCTTGGGTTTCAATTATACAATGATCAAATACCCACCCTTCCACCAGTGCCCATTTCCCACCACCACAGATCCCAGTATCCCATACCCCCCCCCGCCATTTCCCCCATCCCACCCTGCTTCAGTGGCAGGGCATTACCATCTGCTCTCTCTCTCCTTTTGGGTATTGTGGTTTGCAAAAGAGGCATTGAGTGGCAATCATATTTGGTCTGTAGTCTACTTTCAGCATGCTTCTCTCATCCTGGGAGGATCCTCCCAACACCCTTTATTTGGTTCTCCCTTCTCTATCTGAGCTGCCCTTTCCCCTAGCATATATCATATATGGCTGGCCTCCAAGCCATGGAGTAAACCTCCTGGTACTAATCTCGGCTATTCTTAGGTGTTAGTCTCCTATTTTGTTACTTTATGTTCCCCAGATGAATGCAATCTTTCTATGTCTATCCCTTTCTTTCTGACTCATTTCGCTTAGCTTGATACTTTCCATGTAGTACCACTTGTATGTAAATTTCATGACTTCATCTTTTCTAACAGCTACATAGTACTCCATTGTGTAGATGTACGAAAGTTTCTTTAACCAGTCATCTGTTCTCAGGTACTCAGGTTTTTTCCAGATTCTGGCTATTGTAAAAAGTGCTGCAATGAATAAACAAGTGCAGATGTCACTTCGACTATATTTTTTTGCCTCTCTGGGATATATTCCCAGGAGTGGTATTGCTGGGTCAAATGGGTGAAGCTCGGTCGTCTTTGGAGGCCATCTAGTGGCACACGTCTGCTGCCCACAGAAGGGCATCTTAGGCCGCTGGCCTCAGCAGGCCTCAAATTCCCTGTTTCTCAACGGGGTCACGTGGCAACTGCTGAGATAATGTATACAAGCAGATGATTCTCCTGGATCCTCTTTGCCTCTTGATTTTGAAGACAGTCTCTGTCATTTGAGCAAAACCGCCTCTGCAGCTGGCTCTTGTAAATAGAAAAACTCTACCTTCAAATGTGCAGTGGTATAGTAAAAAAACCAATGAGTCAAATTTGCTTAAGCTGCAGATTTCTTGTATTTTTAGGTATGAATGCAGCCAGCTTTAGTGAGTCACATGGGTTTAAATGGCAAACAGATCAGATTTCACCCAGCACTGTTTATGCCCAGAGAAGCCCAGCCTTGCACTCAGGCAGATAGATTGTTATTTGGGGTCCTACTTGGTGTTCTGAGCACAGACACCTTGTTGATATTTTTCATTTCTTTCTCCTCCCAGTTTCTGAAGTAGTTTTCATATGTAAAGAAATACACTGTCTAGGGTCTAACCAGAACTTTACTGCTCTTTTAAAAAAGAAATCTATTTACCTCATTTGGGCAAAACTCTATCATATTGCTAGTAGTAGTGAGATTCTTTTTAACTATGATTATTTGTGATAATCTCTTTTTTTCCGTGGAGGGGCGATTTAGTACATGTTTGTTATTTTTTAAAGAAAATTGTGAATTTTAAGACATTCATAGATTCATATGTAATTGTAAGAAATTATTCTGTGCATCCTTTTCCCACTTTCCTCCTTTGGCATCATTTGTAGTCAATATTAGTGTCATAACGAAGATGCAGAGCAGTTTTGTTATGTCAAGGACCTCAGCTGTTTTATGGTTGTGCATATCCACCTCATCTCCCACCTACCCCTATCGTTTATCCACGGTAAACTAATTTGTTCTCGGATTTTTTTTTTGTACTTTGGTCATTTCAAGATTGTTACATAAGGAGAGTTGTAAAGTATATAAATAGGTATTTTTTTTGGTGGGGGGGCACACCCAGTGGTGCAGGCCTAGTGCCCTACATGCTGTCTGATCACTCTGGTCCCCTGGGCAATAGTACAGTGAATAGTTTAACTCCCTCAGAATTTATTCAAGTTATGGGACCTGCGAGGTAGTACAACAGGTAGGGTATTTGACTTGTGTATGACCAGTCTGGGTTTGATCCTCAGTGTCCCATGTGGTTCCCTGAGCACAGTCAGGAGTAATTCCTGAATGCAGAGCTAGTAGCAACATCTGAGCATTGTGGAGTGTGCCCCCACCCCTTAAAAAAATGATTTATTCAGGTTGCTGTGTTTTAATAGTTTCTTTTATTCCTGAGTGAGATTTTATCATATAGATATATAATTATACAGATTGTTTAACCATTCATTTATTGAAGAATCATTTCCTGTGTGGAGAAGTTTTGGATAAAACTGCATGAAGATCATGTATATTTTTTGTTGAACATTTGTTCTGTGAGATAAATGCCCACAGATGCAGTTGCAAGGATGTATTCCTTTGGGGTTGGAGGGGTTTGGGCCACATCTAGAGGTGCTCTGGGATTCCTCTAGGCCCTGTGCTCAGGGGTGACTTCTGGCTGTGTTTGGGGGATTATCTGCAGTGCCAGGGATTGAATTAGAGTTAGCTGCAGGCAAGACAAACACCTTAACCCCTGTACTACTTCTTAACATTATAAAAATCCTGTTTGTAAGAACAAATCGATTCTAATGTGTATCAGTCTCAGATATTTATGTCAGATACAAATAGTTTTGAAATGTTTCTTTCTGAAACATTATTCATTGCAGCAAATGAAACTTCATAAAAAGTATGTTTTTATCTGCAAAGTGTCCTGCTTTGGGTAGAATATGCATGCATGCTAAAGGTTTAATATAAAATATAGTAGCAGTACCTAATATGAGCTGGTTCTGGAAGATTGAGTGTGAATAGGAAAATTAGAAGACAAAAAATAGGAAATATTTTAAACAGTGGCATGAGGGACAGAAATCAAGGTCTGTGGTAACTACTGCAGAGAGGATTATTTTATTTAATAATGCTTATGTACATATTTTGGTTTTGGTTTTTGGTCTTTGGCTCACATGCAGTACTTATTTCTAGCTCTGTGCTCAGGGATTATACCTAGTAATAATGAGGTGCCCTGTGTGGTGTCAGGGATTGAACTGAGAATGCTCTGTGCAAGGCAAGTGCTTTACCAACTATACTCTCGCTCTAGCTCCTAATAAGAATAATTATTATGATGTGTTTAGACTCTCAAGTACTTGATAGTAGTAAAGAAGTGTTAAAAACTGAAAATTCTAACATAGCACATGTTGAGGAACTTGAGAAATTTTTGTTTAGTTTTGGTCATTTTTTTCTCAGGAAGTGAGACGCAGTTAAAAGTTTCTAAGTAGGAGCTGGAGCGATAGCACAGTGGGTAGGGTGTTTGCCTTGCATGCAGCTGACCTAGGTTCGATTCCCAGCATCACATATAATCCCCTGAGCACTGCCAGAGGTAATTCCTGAGTGCAGTCAGGAGTGATCCCTATGCATCACTGGGTGACCCCAAAAGAGTTTCTAAGTAATGATTTTATATGACTAGGTCTCTTTTGCCCAAGGGAGCATCCAAGATCTATTTTTTTAAAATTTTTATTAGTGAAACACCATGAGGTACAGTTGTAGACTTACAAATTTTGTAGATTTACAAATTTTTGTGCTTGGGTTTCAATTATACAATGATCAAGTACCCATCCTTCCACCAGTGCCCATTTTCCACCATCACGGGTCCCAGTATCCCACCTTCCCATTCCCCCCCCCACATCCCATCCTGCCTCTGTGGCAGGGCATTCCCTTTTGCCAAGATCTATGAAAGGAAAAGTAGAAGACCTTTCTTCATTTGAATAACTCCCAAGACAGAAGACACACACACAGCTGGACCTGGTGACTCCAGGGA